TTGGATCGTTTTCTCGATCGGAAAAGCGTAAGTGGACCGACGCGTGTTTCACGGTACGAGAAATGAATAGTCATGCGCCTTGAGTTGGTGCGATCCTGGAAAAGGCAAGAGTGAATCGCAAAGACGAGATCAGCGCCTATCGCGGCCTTAGAGGATACGTCGCGATTCCAAGCTGCAGCGCGACATGGCGCCGTAACGTCATGCCCGTTCCCGGCAGTGCAATCGCAATTTTCCGCGAGAGACGAGCGATTTCTGGATCTGAACACGTGAAGTACCGGTCATGGGATTCCTCGTTCATCAAAGCTCCAACGCAATGGACCCCGTCACGAGGTTCCTTTGGTAACATATAGCAATTATCGTTGGCACAGCTCATTTCACGTAATGAGAAATGAAAGGAAGGAAACTCGTGACCGGTCTTTCATGTGTGCTAAGACCCTGCCGTCGTTGAGATTCTTTCGTGCGAACTCGCGAGCATGAATAGGCACCGGTCTCGGGGACATTCGTCTGGTAGACCCGCGGAAAACGATGCGCGCGTTTATGCATACAGCGAACCTCGAGTGTCACCGGGAGTATTCACACAGAGCCATTCACGTTGCTCATGGTACGCGGATGACGCGCTCGATCGCTTACCGGTTCGCCTACAGATTTCGACGCATTCGCCAAATACGGCGCATCGGAGTCAAACTCGAGGAGCCGTAGCCGTCTGGTTTCCTACCCACGCCATGACCCGCCGTCGCTTTTTACGGGAAACGCGAACAGACGGGCGCGGTACTTTCGCTCCTTAAGCGAAATGGTTCATGTGAGTGTCGAGTCGGAAGCTTCTCGCGACTCGACAGAGGGCGTGTGCCAAAATTGAAGCAAAGAATTTAGGCATCTCCGTCTCATCACTCACTGAGAGAAATTATTTTATAAGAAATTAACAAACGGATATTTTCGATCAAAATACTGATGAATTTTTGTATCTGATCCATCCGATGAGAAATATCGGTTTATCTGATGAAATGCCATTATGATCGGAAATATTCGATTAACTTTAATCGAATATAAAAATTCATTGATATTTTGATCTAAAATGTCCGTTTGTTAATTTTTTATCGGATAATTTTTCAGTGTTCGATACGATACCACACGGAAAAAACAATATGGTTGGCTAATTAGATAATAATAAGATATGGAACAACTAATTATGTGCTTGCTGTAACTATAGAGCAATTACTGATTTATTGGCGTTGCAGCAATTACGATATCTGGTTGCTCCAATCAGAATGTGTCCATGATAAATGTCATTCCAACCGATTTCTGGTTGCCACAATCAGATCACGCGCAAATATACTGACGCTATTGATGTAGCAAAGTAACTGAGTCACATCAACCATACGCATTACCATCATGCAAACATAATCAGGATGATGCAACTATGTGTTGCTCATAACTAAATATTTCTATTACCTTTCATTCTCGTGTACGTATTTCGAAGCACGTTTAGCGTTTATTTGATCGATCCTTCATTTTTTCTTTTGAGACGAAAGTAATTATCGAAATAAAAGACATGATAAAAATGAGGAAAAAGAATAAAAAAGAAAATGACATGGTAATTAGCGAAATATAAGGAAAAGTATCCTGCTTACTCCATCTTTCCCGAGATAATTGTACAAAGAGGTAAAATATGCCATTATCCGAGATATTAATGCAAATTGAAATATTCTCTTCCTCGAAGAAGATGGGAGAGGTACGCAAATATTTTTTTATACCCATTGAGAGACGGACAGAGAGTCAATCAAAATGCGCAAAGCTTCCAGGAGGCAAAGCCGGTGGAGCTTGCCGTGAGTAAATCAGCTTAAATTTCAATTCAATTGTTATTGCAGACGTCTGCGCGTCTTCATGTAATATAAAATAGATGCCGACGCTATTTGTGGCACACATAAGACGCGGTCGCGCGTCTCCAACGTCTCTGACAACTGCTGCGTTTAACTAATAACACGTTTGATTACACACGGGAACTGTAATCACCATAAGAAACTGGCGTTCATTGAGGCTAATAAATACCTTCAACAGGCAAGTGGGCTTTTTTTTGAACTAGCAAGACACATCTCGCGTTGACGCCCACTCTCGTGGTTTTTACACCTCGCAATGAGCGTGTTAGCGTTTTGATTAAATGAGAGAAGATTGTGTTCACTCGGTTTATCGCGAAGGACACATGAAACGGATGTGTAGCACGCGAGATAAATATTGCGTAAGCACAATCGACTTGTACGTTCATCCGCTGCGGTTGTTTATTGCTTCTCTAATGCGCTCCTACTAAGACGGTCTATGTAGCCGTATAATCGGCACGTCTCGTCTCACAATTCGAGCGAATCGAACGCCGCGTTATCGCACGTTCGCCGTTGCGATGACTCAATACTTTCCAAATGTAATGAACGCGAGATACTTGGCATTCTTGAGGATCAGTTATCTTATCGCGGATCGCGATGATCGCGGACTTTTTCTCGTATAGGCTGCTAATTAGGGAAGCCAACGATTTGACCGCACGAAAAAAATAACTCTGCAATGTAACTGAGTTTGCTGTTATTTGAGAACCAGATGAAAAATTTGATTGTAGGAACAGAAGGATTCCTGCAAGAGGTTTCTACATTGAGAGAAAAGAAAGTGGTTGATCTAACTGAGATATTTATGGTATTCTGGACCATATCTTTTGATTGTTGTAACGCAAGAATGATAATAATAACATGCACATAAGATTATTATCATTAATATTATAACACACTTCGTTAATTGAATTTTCTGTTATTTGGAGACCAGTTGGAAAATTTGATTGTACACGCAAAAAAAGTTTCAGTACAACTAAGTAGGAACCAACTGAAAATTAGATAATCAGAAGCGATTATATCTGTTATGAAAACTAATATTTCTGTTGTCGCAACCGAAAATATTCGTCTGAACATTTAATGATATTAGAACTCGGTTGAGATAACTGAGAACAATTGACTATAGAAACCTCATAAAGGAATTTTTCTGTTCCTACAGCCGAGTTTTCGTCTGATCCTTGAGCAACCGAAAATTCGGTTGCACCAACAGAATTGTTTTTTCCGTGTAGAAATAGAAAGATTCAAAGATTACAGGAGGTTCCTACACTGAGAAAAAAGTGGTTGATCTAACTGAGATATTTATGGGTATTCTGCAATCATATTTTTTGACTGTCTTAACACGAAAATAATAGAAGTAACATGTACATAAGGTTATTATCGCTAACATTATAACTCACAAACAGAAAACATTCGTTAATGCAATTGAATTTTCTGTTACTTGGGGACCAGTTGGAAAACTCGGTTGTAGGGACAGAATAATTTCTGTAGAAGATTTCTGCTCGGCCAATTGCTCTCAGTTATCTCAACTGAGTTTCAATGCAACTGCGTGTTCAGACGGAATGTTTTCGGTCGCAGAAGTCGAGAGATTAGTTCTCGTCCGCGAGTTTTCCATCTAGTCTCCGTTTAATTGGCCAAACTGGAATTTTCCTTTTCCCCTGTGAGTCTGCTGTCGATTCTCTGTCAATAAGCACGCTCGTGACGATCGCAGAAACGACTATTCCTTCGCGAATTGTAGCTCGTTGGCCTCGTCCGCGACACAGCTAACTCTCTCAATCGTCCCTGAATAATGGACATCGGTGACACTTGTCGGTCACCCCGAGAGGAAACGGTCTCCGTCGTCGCACTTTTGTAGGCTACGTCATCGCTCGGTTTACACCGTGGCATCACGGATGGACCGGTTCTGCGGAGGTGCCCCCACCGATGTCACAATCGCGTTCACGACGCTCGTCGTCCGCAATTTTTCTCTGACTGCGAAACGCCGCGACGAAGAATTACCGCGCATGCGTGAATCATTGCTTATACTAATATAGACTTAAGTATCATGAGCTTTTTGGCTCACGCGTGGGACACCACGTCTTTGTCCTCCCTCACCATCCGCTGACCTTTCGTCATTTTGGAATTAATTGTGAGAACCCCCGATTTTTCCATGTGTCGCGATATGATTTCCAAAAAAGGGGAACTTGATAATTTCTGCGATATTTTTCCATCTCATACAAGAACACTTTGGCATAGGCAAGAGACATATCTTCTACAGAGGAAGAGAGGATCTATGATTTCTCGTTTCTAGCTTCGAACATGCGGAAAAATAGTTTGACCGGCTGATAATGCGCGTTCAGAGCAACAAGAGCTAATTGTATTAAGATTCAGTGATGAAAGCTTCATTTAAACGCGCGTGCGTTTAAACGATGCGAGATTGCACTTTGCGCAAGTTGGTCTGAGTATACGGGAATTTAACTCAAAGTTTTATCTGCATATGATGTGTGAGAGAGATCAACAGGTGCACGCGCACGCCGACGCTGCAGAGATAAAAAGCGCCACATCCTGCGTTTACGTGAATGTTACGTAACGCGCGCCGATATATGACTGCATATGCGCGCACGTGCGTGAAGCGCACGTCTACATTGACCAATACAAGGGAGTCGATGCAACATGAAATATCATCGAGAAATTCGAATTGTCACGGTACACATAGGTAAAAGCGATAGCGACGTAAAACGAAGCGCTTCAAGGTCATCTTCGCGCCATTAACGTCATGTTTAACTGACGATAACGATATGCCGGTAGCTCGGCTGGTCGCGGGAGACCAGTGAGGTATCAAGTACGTGAAAATAATGAAGCAACACATCGACGTTTCATCGAGCTCTGGAGATCGCGAAAATCTCGCCGACGAATTACCTTCCGCGCAGTCCCGCGAGTCGCGGCGAATCGTCGACATCGGCACGAGCATATTCGCGCGAGTCTGTCGTCACAGGTACGGCTGCATGAGACGAGGAGGAGTGGAGCGGATGAGCCGGGCGCGGGAAAAAGACAGACCGTAATCTCTCGTGAGCGTCATAACCGCGCGAGTGCGTTACCTATGCGAACGGCTCTACACCTGGCGGAATCGGCCGACGGTGTGTACCGCCGACTACACGTCGACGTTCGCCGCTACGGTACACACGCACAATGCGCGCGAATGCACGTCCCACGCCTCGTGTGCAGCGCGGAATACGTGCGGGACACACGAGGATGGGTGGTAACGTCCCACGCCGGGCCACGTACGTATGTACGTACGTGCAGAGGTTCGCCGCGTCGCGAGTAAAGTAGGGATACACCGGCGGTGTTCTCCAGGCATAAAAGGTCCATGCTTGGTGTATGTCAGTGTCAGTGACGGCGAGAGGAACGGAGAGGAACGGCGGAGAAGTGAGCCCAAGCGAGTGTGGTCACCTAGAGAGCCAACGCGCGGCCCGATCACATCGCCGATGCCACATCGACTCGCGGTACCGAGCCGAGAACATCGGCGAGCACGTATCTCGCATCTCTCACACATTCGTGCAAACGAGCGAGAAAGGATCACGACCAACAGAAGAAACGAGTTTGTAAACGAGGCCGGTCACCGCGACAGGCTTCAGTTCCAGCCTGCTCCGGAGAGAGAGAGAGAGAGAGACTCCGGAGTGGCGCAGCCGTGCGCGCTACGGAGAGGAGAGAGAGAGAGAGAGAGAGAAAGAAAGAGGGGGCGAGAGCGAGAGAGACAGAAGACAGTGTAACGCAGTTGAGTTGTATGTAAGAACGCGAGTAGAGAGAGAACACACGCAATAGTCATCTCTAGGAGAGAACATCGTCAAGTGCCGGTGATAAGCGAGTACGTCGGGCGATCAGTAGAGATTTCCCGCGCGTGATCTGAGAAGATCGGGAAGACGACTGAAGATAGAACGGTGAAGTTACAGTGAAACGGTAGGATTCGAAAAGGACAGCGGTGTATATGTGTACGTTTCGGAATTATTCTCAACCATTTTTATCACATTCCCACGACGCTCACGTATTCTCGTGGAAATCATAATCAAGCAATCAGGCTGTGAACACGAACCATCGCGATGACCATTCACAAGAAAGGCACGGTGTCGAAGACGAAAGGCAAGGGAGCGACGAAAAACGCGGTAGCCACGACCTCGACATCCTCAGACATGGCGACCACGGAGACCGTCGAGGTCGTGTCCTCGACCAGCGTGGTCGAGGAATCGCGGCAGATCACGGAGAGCGAGTCCAGAAGCAGCATGGTGGAGGTGACGAGCGCCAGTCGCGAGGTCATCATGGATTCTAAAGGTAACATAATCAAAGTCATCGAGACACCCCCGCGCACCGTCGAGCAGAGCTCGTCCAACCGCAGGACCGGCAAGAGCTCACAAGATTTCATAGCCGGCGAGCAAATGCAATCGATCAAGCAAGCGAAGACAACACATGAGAATTCGCGCGACGACGTGAAGTCCATCTCGGGAAGTCGAATTCTCCTTGGAGGAGACGTGACCGAAGAGCGAGCCAGTCAACAATCTGTACAGACGCAAAGCCAAAGCGAGTCCCGTACAGTTCAACAGCAGTCGATCTCCTCGAGCACCTTGATGGAGAGCTCGTCATCGAGCGAAGATCGCAGCGGGCACCGGTCCACGGTCGCACGCATCTCCCACGACACCAGGAATGGCGATCACGCTCCCATGGTCCAGACATCGTCGAGATCAAACGAGAGCACTCATATGAGCAGCGAGACGAGCGAGGCTATAACGAAGGGCGGCCAGACCGTCTCGAGTACGACGAGGATTCGCGAGACCGGGGAGAAGATCGACGACAACGGCAGAACGATGTCTACGTCCAGCCGGGAAGTTGACAGCGAGTACACGGTTAATCCCACAGACGCGAACGCTGTTAAACGCGTTCGCGACGACGTCGAGAAGATCGGCGACAAAAGCGTGCACATCAGCGACTCGAAGGCGGAGAAATCGAATGTTGAGATAATCGCGCGCTGCAACAAGCCCGGCCAGTCCACGTGGGACGGCACGTTCGTCTACGAGAAACCAGCCACCCCCAGAGGCAAAAGCACCCCGAAGAGCGTCGGGAAAACGGCTCGTGGCGACAAGGGCAGCGTGGACAAAGCGGTATCGTTCACTACGAAGGTGCACGATGATACCAAGCAGGCCAGTGATACGAGCGTTAAAGTTATTCAAGAGTCGTCGTCGTCATCTTCTTCGTTCACCGCCGAGGCGGTGACATCAGTTATCGATCAGGTCGTGTCGTCGAGCACAGCTGTGACTCGGGACCATAAGACCACAATGATCGACGAGGGTCGATCGTCGTCCACAGCGATCGATCGTCGCGATTTCATGCAGCAAGGACTGTGTGCCACGGACTTCGACACGACGGATTTCGCCGATGAGCGGAGGCATAAGACGAGTGAGAGGCAGCATGTGAAGGGACCGGCTCGTTACGCCAAGCCCGGCGAGTCCACGTGGGATGGCAGCTTCGTCGTGGAGAAAGCGACGGAGACGAAACGGCGGCGCAACGATTCCGACGCCGACGTGTTCCACCGTCGTCACGACGATGACGTCGTAGAGACAACACAGCGGAAGGACTTTAAGGAGAAGAGCGTGGACGGTACGTACGAGAGGGAGTCGTCTGAGAGGATGCGCGTCGTGAAGGGTGCCACGGACAGCACGAGATTCATCTCCGAAGAGCGGTACGACGTAAGTCGAGAGAGTACGATCCACGTGGACGATTCGCCATCGAGTCCGCCTCGTCGGAGAGCCGCCAGACCAGGTGACTCCGCGTGGAGCGGCGAATTCATCCGCGAGAGGACACCAGACGACACGAGGAAGAGACCTGCCGACCTCACAGTGGTCCGACGATCGGAGAAGTGTCATGATTCCGTGGACGTTGAGGACGTCACTGAGGACATCTCGAACATTTCCGAGTCGGTTTCAACTTCTTACATCGTCGAGTACGCGAACGCCAGCGACAAGAAAAACGTTGAGAAGATCACGTCTGTGTCCGAGGTGATTGCAGAAGAAGATGGCGAGAGCAAGAGTACACGTGGAAGTCCCGAGAAGCAACCCAAAGCGGGGGACGTACCTTCTCGCTGCTACAAACCCGGCCAGTCCACGTGGGACGGCACCTTCGTCTATGAGCAACCGAAAACACCTGAGATCCGTCGCAGACCTGAGGAGAAACGTACCGTCAAGACTGTCGATATCCGGGACGTCACGGAGGATAATTCGATTAACGAAGCAGATGTCACGAGCACTTCCTACATCGTCGAGCATTCGTCGAGTCAGCAGAGCTTCTCAGATGTCAGGGACGCCAGTCTTTCGTCCAGGATCTATGAGACGGTCATTTACGAGGGTCACCCCGTTGAGATGACGATCAGAATTGAGGAAGATTCTCCTCGAACCAAAATTTCGACGACGGAGCGACAGACTAGCCCTACTATGCGTCCTAGAAGTCCCGAAAAGACACCTAAGGAGAGAGAGTTTCGGGACACGAAACCCGGATCATCAACGTGGGACGGGACTTTTGTGCGGAAAAAACAGCAAGAGAAGAAGCGACCACCTAGCCGAGAATCCGTCGATGACAGACTGTCGGACCGTCCGGTTGACAGCTGGAAAACGTCTCCGGTAGACACGCCGAAGAAGCACGTCAGCGAAACCACTATCGACCTGCGGGATGTCACGCGAGATGTATCTAGCACGTCGGAGATCCTGGAGAGCTCCGTCGTAATGGAACAATCGAAGCTACACGAAAGTTACACGGACTCTAGCAACCTCGGCTACTCTACCTCCTCCGTAGAGACTGTGATCATCCGCGACGGACAGCCAGTGACGTCCACGCAAAAAACCGTGACCGTTCAAGAGGGCCCTCGCAGCCCCGTGAAGAGACTGGTCGGCGGTGACGTAATCACCGCTACTGACGTTAAAGAGAGTACTATTAAAAGCTCCGAGAAGAAGGAGTCTTATGTCGAGGACAGGAGTTACCGACCTGCGAAACCAGGTTCATCGACATGGGACGGCTCGTTCGTGTACGAGAAATCGGGAGAGAAGAGACCGACTGACAGGAGGATACTGAAAGATGCAGCTGAGACCGTAGACAAGCCGAGTCCACTCAAAAGACCAAGCGACGTCACCGATCACAGGACGTCTGTTCTGATATTCGAGGATAGGTCGAAGGATGCGACGAGCTCGATCGATTACACCACAAGCTCTGTCAAGCTCGAGCAAACGCTCGTCACCGACTCAAAGACATACGATCATACAACGTCTTCTCAAACCCTCGTCGAGGATACTAGAAAAGACAAAACTCTGTCGATTGATTATGACAAACTGAGACGGCCGTCCGAAGAGAGGCTGACACCGTCGCCTCGGAAGCGTCCAGACGACGACAAGGAAGCTCCCGAAAGAGTGCTAAAAAGCCCAGTGGACAGGACGCATCGACCGTCGAAGCCAGGTGCCTCCACTTGGGATGGATCTTTCGTCTACGAGAAGCCACAGGATTCGCGGAAGAAACCCGCGATCGGAGAACCGACCGACGAGACGAAAAAGCCGACGGACAAACCGATCGGGGAAAAGAAACAGACAGATCGCAGGGAACAGCCGGTTGTCCCGACACCGATCCCCCGAAAGACAACGGATGACAAAAGACAGCAGGACGTTACGGCGATCAGATATGCCGAAGATATTGCGGATGTCACGAGCACATTCGAAGTGGTGCAGCAATCCACTTATGTGGTCGATCAATCTTCGAGCTTCACTTCCGTGCAAGACGTCCGCGATGTTAAGGACGAACGTGTCATCACTGAATTCACAACAGACACGCGCAAGGATACGGTGAGTAATCGCGAGATATATATACTCGACTGTTTCCTCTCTTCCTCTCCTTCGTCTGTAGTGGGAAATTGTTATTTAACTCGTTGAGTCATATATTTGATTTCTCAGTGAAGTTTTTTCTTTGGCATATCGGGAATTTCGCAGTCGCTTATTACAAATCTAAAGTATAAAGATTAAAATTTGAAATGAATCCGATATCACGACCATAAGTTCTCGAAATTAGCAATCTCGCTTTTAGTATTATCTAGAAATAACGACGATGATATAAAAAAGAGATATTTGCATCTTTGACGAGAAATTTACAGCAAACGTATTATCAATATTTCAATAGTTTATTTTATAGTTTATTTTAAAAAAATACAGAAATTTTTGAAAAAATGTGTAAAATACTATTAATTGTCTTCAATAAAGTTCATGTTTCTATCGATTTTTAGTAGTTATCCCTAAGATGATTTTTGTCTGAAAAAATGCCTTTTTCTTACTTTTATTTGCTTATAATAATTTAATAATTAAACATTCAATTATCTTTCACTTATTTTTAGTTCTTTATATTTGTGTGTGTGTGTGTGTGTGTGTGTGTGTGTGTGTGTGTGTGTGTGTGTGTGTGTGTGTGTGTGTGTGTGTGTGTGTG